AGCTGCTGTGATTAGCCGTTATCCTGCTAACGTTCACTTTGACACCAAGCATCTTTCTCAAAATCTGTAGAGAGCTTTCTGCCACTTTTGATAGTAATGGGGGGGGGGGGGGGGGGGGGATAAAGCTGTTCAGAGCTTCTGTGACTTCCTGTCTATGTTGCCTTTGGCTCCATCATAAATTAAATTTTAATATGACTCTCCAACCATGATGTCATACAAGCAAGTATAGCAAATACTGAGGACATCCAAACAAGCTGAATAATCACAGACTCATTTCTTTTTGAACAGGAACTCTATAATGAGTCATGCAAGGCACTGAAGTTCTCGGTTATCAGATTATTATATTGTGAGTGATTATTATACTCACAAACAGGGATCTGACCTTTAGAGGATCCAGGACACAGGACCAAATGATGATGTTTGTTCACAGATATACAGTAGGGCCAGATTTACCGTAAAACTTCAAATAATAGCCGAGTCCCAAATAGACGCCTGTCTCTTTTACACGCCTGGTGTGGCTGCAGGTTTGGGTAAATAAAGGCCGGTCTCAAATAGAGGCCGGGTCTGTTTTTTTTTAGTTTCGGGTTGTATTTAACCTTCTAAAACCCGTCAGATCGTCCGCTTTTTGGCGGCCGAAAAAGCAAATTTGTGTCCCGCCAAGCCAAAGCCTTTTTTGATCGGTGAGTGATGTAGCGCTTGACAGGGCGCATAACGAGCAGAGAGCGCGCCCCGGCCGCGCGCGCGCACTCTCACGTCTTCAAACAAAACGAGCGCTGTCTTGCTCTCTCTCCCTCGCGCATATTAATCAAAATCAATTGACACGATAGTAAAAGGTCGGAAAGACAGCAGTTTCACGTGGAGCATTTGGAGATTTTTTAGAGATTCGAGACTCTAGGCTTACACTCAATGAACAACATCTCAACACTAAATTATAAAGGCCGGTCTCATATAGACGCCTGCCTCAAATACAAGCCGGTGCAGTTCGATGATTTGGGAAAATAAAAGCCCGGGCTATTATTTGAAGTTTTACGGTACTAACAGCTTAAGCAAGTGCAAACTCTCTTTTGGTATTAAAAAACAACAACAACAACAACAGTAGGTTAATTGGCAAGTGGCTCTTAACAGATGTTGGTTGGTCATTATTTTGTCTGAAAGTACATTTTATTTATGTAATTTTATTGTGTGACTGTACAGCACATTGGTCAACATTATGTTGTTTTAATTGGGCTTTATAAATAAAATAAATGAAAATGAAATGAAAATGAATGAATGTCAGGATTTACTAAAGACATGCAGTGAAAAATTCGGGCTGAAAAAGTGTGGAGAGGGTTCTGCGGCTGACCTTATTGCATATGCATTTGTAGGAGTTTCCCTTTCAGACCCAAAATTTATGGGAAGAGAGAATTTCATCATGGAAGCTGATTTACAAAAGTCTGCGCTAGTCAATTTATTGGTATTTGCGCCATTATTTATCGCCCAAAAAAAAGCACGTCTTAAACTAGATGCTAATTTGCGCTGCTCTTGGTAGATTGCATTGGTCATTATGGAAATGATCCGGCTGCGTCTGTGTTCTTTAATTTGTGCGTTGTCAGTAGATCACACGCAGAACTTTTCACTCCCATCTGCGCTTTTTTGTAATTGCGCTTTCCTGATAATTTGCCCTGTTAAGTAAATCTAGCCCATAGTCTTAATCATACAGAGAGGTGTGTGCTAGATGCACTGCAGTGAGACGCGTTTATAAACACCGCCACAAAAAGGTATGCAAATTAAACACAAAATTATGTACAGAATGGGGGGCAGTAAGACACAAAATAAAACATGAGGATGGGCTGACACTCCACAGACACCCAAAACAATCAAAAAGTGAAAAATATGAATGAGCTTCATAGGAAGGCCGGACACATACACAGACTACACAGAAGAAAGCTGATATTGATAAGAGTGTCTATGTAATGCGAGCAATAAGACTATGGGTGAAAACTGCTGTCATAACAGCCACCAATGAACAACTGTACTAATAGCCTACACAATCGTTAAAGGTTTGGGGTCGGAACTTTTTAAAAAAAAAAAGTTTTTTGAAAGAAGATAAAAAATATTGAATGTTGAATTTGAAAAATGTATTTTATTCCTGTGATGGCAAAGCTGAATTTTTGACAGCAATTTCTCTTCGTGATCCTTCAGAAATCATTGTAATATGCTGATTTGGTGTTTAAGAAACATTTCTTCTTATTATCAATGTAATATATTTTAGTGGAACTTTTTAGGGTTCTTTGATGGATAAAAAGTTAAAAAGAATAGCATTTATTATAAAAAGATACTTTTGTAATATTAGAAATGTCTTTTTATCAATTGAATGCATCCTTGCTGAATAAAAGTATTGTATCAGGGTTTAAAAAAAAACATCCAAATATATTTTTATATACACAGGTATACAGTATACACACAGGTATACACATACATACATGCATACACCGTTGTGTTAAAGATTGTCTTAATTTATTGTACTGGTCAATATTTGACACTTAATTGTTATAATGTAATATAACAATATAATTTATAATATGATATAATTCGATTGTTAAATAATTTCCCTATTTTAAATTTAGACTTCCTTTGCTCTCATCACTCACTAAAGTTAATCTTTAAAAACACAAATTATTGAATAACAGCATTAAATCTAGATCTTTAGCCAATCTCAAAATGAATATTTATTTTTCATACTGCACATTATAATGCTGTGATACTCAAATTCACTTTTAATCGATGTCTTTTTTCAAATAACAGGTTCTAGTTTTAGCGTTTTCTTTTTTGTTTATTTTGACAAAATAAAATAGAATTTTAATATCAGCCATCTATGAGTTATAAGCCATAACATGAAAATAATTATCGGCTTATCAGGTCTGAAAATTACTATTCCATATCAATGATGTAAGTGTACAGTAATACAAGTAGAACTCAACAACTAAAGTTACCATGTAGAACAGCTGTCTGGCACTGAGGACAGACATTTAGCTGCCTGGATTTAAATTACACTACATTACACTGACTGTAATGCAATATGGGAACCTAGATCATGGAACGGAGCTCAAGCCTCAGGATGATCACCTAACAGCCATTGCTGTTAATAAACACCCCTCAGAGATATCTGACACTAGGACAGTCACGTGGGCAAAGCAGCTATGAGAAGAATTTTATCAGGTACTAGTTGGATAGAGGTGTTCAGCTGGTGAACAGACAAACACACAAACAGACACACACACACACACAGACATGGCTGACAGCTGCTGGAACATTCAACACGCATGCTAACTAGAGCAATAAACAAAAGATCCTTGCACCTGTCAAGGACACACACATAGCCTGTCAACACAAGTGGCAAGTGAAGAGTTTTAATACTGACAGGGGGGCGTGTTGATGCTTTGGGTTAACACCGTCTCGTCTGCATCTCCGACAGTTCATGGCCATTACCATCAGTACAGACTGACAGCTATGTAATCTTTATACACAGAAAGAATGACAAGTGTAGTGGGTGGTGTGTCCCCACCTGGTGCCAAATGACAAGATGACAGATAAATGTTTTGTACTAACATGATTCAGATGTGCAAATTAATTCACTGTATTGTTTCTAGATATACAGTAGTATGTTGGCATGCATTGAAATATACAGTAAAGCATTTTTAATAAAGGCTTATCCCAAGTCGACATCTAGGCATGTATTAAGAAGGGTGATGTTACTTCTGAAAGCATTACTATAATCTCTGGTTATTTCCAGGGCTGGTTACTGAAAGACAAGATCATAGCTGAAGTCATTATGTCAGAGATCAAAGTCTTTCTAGGCCTCCACACAGTACATTTTCCCATGATGCACTGTGTATAATCACATGGAACTAAAAATACGTAGGTGACAGGGTCACGTGTTCACTGAAATCGATAAATGACACTTCTAGAAAATGAAACCAAAACACACACGATTGCCTTTCAAGGAGTGAAAATACCCTTAAGCCTAGATCCAAACAGTCCTATTAAATGCACTGTTCAGTTAACATGAATGCAACATGTGTTTGTGATGTACTACATAACTCGATACATTTTTGAATTACATAAGTTGCTCTGAATACACATATTTGATGTGGTTCAGTGAACATATGTGAAAATCTGTTAGGTTACACTATCCTAAAGGCTGCGTTACGTAAAGCATGTGATCTTTATTCTGTTTGCTGCTTGGATGGACTGGAAAGAGCAGTTACAGTCTGGGGGGCAAAGGTCATCTGTTCTCAAAATAGCAGTCCAGTTCAACATTAGCATGAACAACGTCTGAACTGAGATGAGTGAGCGTGGAAAACCATGCAAACTGAGCTAGGCTTTTCAATCATATCAACTTAAGGGATCATTAAGAACATTTGTGTGAGGGTTATTCAGAACCAGTTCTAATTCTTAAACAATATCGGACTTTTATGACTTACAGTTCCATAAACATGCTTTCTTTCGCATGTGTGAACAGAACACCATAACCAGATTGACGATACTTTTTTGCCGATATTCACAATTTTTAACTTAATTGGCTTTTGTGCTTTAATGTTTGTTGCTGTTGTTGTAGTATAATTAGTTACTTGTTGATAGTAGCCTACAGTTTGTTTCATTTTGTAAATACACATCAAGTATGGCCCGATTCCAAACCAAATGCCTCATAAAGTTTTTTTGTGTGACTTTTTAGTCACAATTGTGAGCAGTCACTGACTCGGTGACATTTTGAACGAATGAATGAATGAATGAATGAATTAATTAATTAATTAATTATAATGAGTGATACTTTTTTTAGTTTTAATAGTTAATATGTTATAGTGATGTTAGCCTACTGAGAGTAGTAAATGCATTTTTTTATTATTATATATATTTCTTACTCAAAATGAATCGTAAACGAATAGGAATGAGAGTCAATTCCCTTACGGCTCCCATCATGTATGTGTGCACATAAATTTTATATTCGAGATGTGACTCACCTGTTCGATGAAAATCATCCGCGTCTATCCATGATGTCAATGCTCAAGAGTTCCCGGTTAACTTCACAGCTCATGCAGTGGGTATTCAGCTGACATTGCATCATATTACACAATAAAACAGCAAAGTTATACTCCTGCAAAGCAAATATGTTACTAAAATAATCCAAAGAAATTAGAAAAAGCTTTCCCTTAACCAGAACACTTATCCAGACTATCGGTTAAAAACGTTTACTACTATAAAAACAATTAACGCGTTATAATCAGTCCGAAAACAAATACTATTTTAGGATCGATCCAGGATTATAAATAGTCTTTCGCGCGTTTTAAAGCGCCAAATAACGAAATATCAGTGATGCTGTACTGAAGTGAGACTCTCGTGATGTTTGCGATGTTTCGTCACAGCATCCTCTTCATCTGCACCTTGCTCACAGCGATTCAATTGAGCTTCCAAATAAACGCGTCGCGAACGATATCAAAGAACAGTTTGTTTATAACGCTAAAGAAAGCAATATTCCTCTGCCTTGAGCTGATGTATTGAAAAAGCTTGCGCTCAGCTACAAACAACCCGTCGGCGTCGACCCAACCGAGTGCACCCATTAACCATAGCCTACTCTGATGCGCGTCGGAAGTGTGACTCTGACTGACGTAGCAGGACGTGATTCACAGTGCACGAGCTTTAGAGCTGCACGAGCTGCGCGCTGGCTCTGTGCGGGAGCGCGCGCGAGGTGTTGAATGCAGGTTGAATGGCGATATTGATAATGGAAACCTTTTTGTATATATCCTAAATAAATGAAATTTTTATACACATTCTGCAGTTTATATTTATTTTAATTCTCTTGTACGCATTACAAATGTATGTGATATATTTGTTGGCTAGCTAGCCTAACTAGTTGGGTAAAAGGATCGATCGATGGGCCCACAACAATTCTGTAAAATTTATTTATTTGGACAAATATAGGCCTACATAATGTTGCAGTTTTTCTGAATTGCTAAAACAACTAAACCCCATTCTCTGAACCAAATTATCAAGAGCCTAAACAAATTTGTCGATTAAATCACTTTTTCTGTAAAACATTAAACAAGTTTAGGTAAATAAACTGTTTGCAATCTCATGCATTTTTTTTTTGTGCAAAACTCTAAACATATTCTCACTCACTAAAACACATTTCGCACTTTGATGCACTTATGTTTTCAAACACGAAACACATTAACACAGGCAGGCAAAAGTTAAACACACAACTACAACAACACAGTGTCATCATTTACACACAACGACTCAAAATAGTAGCCTACACACTTATTTTCTAATGATGTGACCAAACCAACTGTAGGCTACATACAGTTTTTCTGAATTGCTAAAACACTAAACTCAAATCGCCTAAACCAATTTGTTGAATAAATCACTATTTCTGCAAAACCTTAAACAAGTTCTGGCCTTTGGACACTGTTTGCAAATCTCCTACACTCTTTTTGCAATACTCTAAACACATTCGCATTGAGTAATTTTCTTTTTTGAAGTGATTCTAATCATATTTCAAGCAATTCAAACCCATCATGTTGAACAGTGCACATCTCACTCACTAAAACATATCGCACTGTGATACATTTGTGTCACAAAACTACTCGGTTACTATCGTAACCTCAGTTCCCTGAGAGAGGGAACGAGTATTGCGTAGATACGCAGTGGGGAAACTCCTTTTCCTCGATTTACTGAAGCCTATATGTAAAACGCATTTGCAGCTGCACAGCTACCACACTGAGCGTCTGACACGCTCATAGGCTGTGCTGCAGCAACTGCACATCCAATGGCGTGGGCGACTCTGACGCGCGACTAATGAGCTAGCCCGACGTCAGAGCCCGCCGAGGGGGCGTGGCCCAGCCTATATAGACCCCCGAATTCGCCATTATAGCAGGTTTATACGACTGAAGCGACAATTCACCAGTTACTACAGTGCGGCCTGCTACGCAATACTCGTCCCCTCTCTCAGGGAACTGAGGTTACGATAGTAACCTCATAGCTATGCGCAGTGGGGATAGCTATACGCAGTGGGGACGCCATGCAAAACGCCGCACCCTGAGTAACTGGTTGCACTCAGGACCCCTGAGTTAACAGAACAAGCCAGAACCCAATAACATATGCATATACGTATATATAACAGACCAGACACAGTCGGGTCTGAATAATATATATAAAGTCAGTAACAACTAACAGAATATACTAACAAAACCAGACACCGTCGGGATTATTAGTATAACTTTATTACCGGCCGAAGCGGGTTTATATAAATATGTATGTGATTATGCACAGTAATTTTTGTAGACAAGACCAGCCACTGTCAGGTCTCAATCATAACGAAAGCACCTTCGCCTGCAGGGAAGGTACCTCCATATTATAGAACTTCATAAATGTGGAAGGCGAGGACCAGCCGGCCGCATCACAAATATCTTGAATGGGAAAGCCAGATGACCAAGCCCACGACGAGGCTACACCTCTGGTCGAATGGGCCTTGACACCTATGGGGCAAACCTGGCCCACTGAGGTGTAGGCCAAAGAAATGGCATCCACTATCCATCTAGACAGTCTTTGCTTAGTGACTGGATCACCCTTAGATCGGCCACCAAAGCAGACAAACAGCTGTTCTGATTGTCTAAAAGACGCAGAACGCTCCAGATAGATTCTCAACGCCCTGACAGGGCAGAGAAGATTAACCTCCCCATCCTCGGCAGAAGGGGGAAGGGCTAACAGCGTAATAACTTGTGCTCTAAACGGCGTTGAGAGCACCTCGGGTACGTAACCATGCCTGGGTTTGAGAATGGCATCCGATCCAAACTCCAAACATGCAGGACTCACAGAGAGGGCCTGCAGATATCCCACTCGCTTGATTGATGCCAATGCCAACAGGAGAGCAGTCTTTAGCGAAAGTGGTTTTAGATCAAACGACTGGAGCGGCTCAAAAGGTGGTCCCCTCAGGGCCCTAAGGACCGTGGAGAGGTCCCAAGGCAGCACCGAAGGGGGCCTGGAGGGGTTAATCCTCCTAGCACCTTTCAGAAACTTTACCACCAGGTCATTCCTTCCTAGTGATTGGCCAGCCACCAGAGCATGCTGCGCTGCGATGGCTGCCACGTACACTTTGAGCGTGGACGGGGTGCGGCCCGCGTCCAGTAGCTCCTGCAGGAAGGAGAGCACTACCGAAACCTCACATGACTCTGGGTCAATACGATTTCTCGAGCACCAGCTGGAAAAACCCGACCACTTTAAAGCATAAGGCGCCGAGTAGACGGGGCCCTTGCTTCAGAGATAGTGCTTAAGACCCTGTCAGGAAGGTCCCCGGGTACCCGTTTAGGGGCCACACATGGAGGGCCCATAAATCGGGTCGGGGATGCCATATCGTTCCGTTGGCCTGTGTGAGGAGATCCTTCCTCATCGGAACAGCCCAGGGGGTCGTGTCTGACAACTGAACCAGTTCCGGAAACCATGGTCTGGATTTCCAGAGAGGACCCACCAGAAGGACTGGGCATCCGCTCTCCCTAACCCGCTCGATAACTTGTGGGATCATCGAGACGGGGGGAAAAGCGTAAAGGGGGCGGCTGGGCCAGAGATGAGCCAGCGCGTCCCTGTTTTTCGAGAAGAACACCCTGCAGTGGGTGTTGGCTCTCGAGGCGAAAAGGTCGACTTCGGCCTCGCCGAACATCTCCCATATTAGACTGACCGTCTGAGGGTTCAGGGACACGCCTAAGGGAGTGTTGCCCCTGGAGAGCATATCCGCGCCCACATTCTGGACGCCCGGGACATGCGCTGCTCTCAGAGAGCTCAGATTGGCCTGTGCCCACATGAGGAGGTCCCTCGCCATAGCATACAGGTTGCCTGACCTGATGCCGCCCTGGCGATTTATGTAGACCACCACAGACACATTGTCTGTACGGACCAGGACGTGGTGACCCCTGAGGTTTGACAGAAAAGCTTCCAGGGCCAAACCAACTGCTTTCATTTCCAGACAGTTGATGTGTAAGCTCTGCTCCGTGCTCGACCAGAGGCCGGAGGTAGGCTTGCCCTCGTGCAGCGCTCCCCAACCCATGTTGGATGCGTCTGTAAAAACCACCTTCCTCCTGGAAACTTTCCCCATGGTCACCCCCTTGCGGTACCAGTCCTGAGCCCGCCAGGGAATCAGTGTTCTTAAACACCCGTGATTCACCATAATGCGCAGGCTGCCTGACTGCCATGCATGGGTTGGCACACGGCGTTTCAGCCAGTGCTGCAGCGGGCGCATGCGCAGGAATCCCATGTGGAGTACTGATGATGCGGCTGCCATTAGACCAAGTAGTTTCTGAAACCTCTTCAGAGGCGCGCGGTCGCGTGCCCTGAATGCGGCTGCCAGTGTCTGCACAGAGAGCGCGCGCTCTTGAGTGAGCCGCGCTTTCATTGTCACCGAGTCTAAAACCGTGCCCAGAAAGACCACAGTCTGGCTGGGGTTCAGTTCACTTTTGGCAACATTGATTGTGAGACCCAGGCATTTTAAATGGCCGAGAATCAAATCCCTGTGAACTATTAGTTCGTCTCTCGACTGCGCTAGCACCAGCCAGTCGTCGAGATAATTCAGCACACGCACTCCCTGGCTTTTCAGCGGGGAGAGCGCTGCATCCATACATTTCGTGAATGTACGGGGTGCCAGAGACAGGCCGAACGGCAGAACGGTGTATTGATATGCCCTCCCCTCGAAGGCGAATCTCAAGAATGGCCTGTGACGAGGGTCGATCTAAATATGAAAGTATGCATCTTTCAGATCCATTGAAACAAACCAATCCCCCGGGCGAACTTGCGCGAGAATTTGTTTGAGTGTCAACATTCTGAAAGGCCGTCTCATGAGAGCCCTGTTCAAACGCCTCAGATCTAGAATGGGTCTGAGCCCGCCGTCTTTCTTTGGAATTAGAAAATAGCGGCTGTAAAACCCCGAATACATTAGCGCAGGAGGGACTGACTCTATCGCTCCTTTTGCTAATAATTCCTGAACTTCGGTGCGAAGCACGTGACCCACGCCGCTTCTCACCGATGTCTCGATAACTGCCTGGAATTTCGGGGGTCTGCGAGCGAATTGGAGCGAGTAGCTCGCTTTATAGTGTTTATGACCCAACTCGACACACCAGGGATGGCTTGCCAGGCCATCACCCGTGTGGCTAGGGCGTGACACACTGAATGGGGGGGACCGCCTAACATAGGGGGACC